CCCCCCCCCCCCAATCCTTGGTCCTTCTGTATGTATGCAGGTTGCTCCCCCCGGTGCATATGCCGCCCACCAGCGGCGGCGTGGCGTGTGCCTCAGCCGGTCGAGCGCCCTTTCCTTCCACTGTCCCCTCCCTCCCCCCCCTTCCCCCATATACCTTCCCATGGGTGTCGGGTGTGCAATGCACGCATCACATTTGTACACATGCTCCTCTCTCCTCCGTGCTGTCCGCTGCGCGTGCGCTGAAGCTCTTTTCATCTTTCCTGCGGCTCCCCCGCCGCCCCCTGCTCTGGATGTCACATGATGCCCGTCCGTGCGCGCCTGCATCCCGCACCATCCAGAACGGCCGGGTGCTCCCCAGAACATGCCGGTTTTCGGTGCGTGAACTCACGCGTGGGTGGGTGTGCCCAAATTCGTCCGCATTTTACGGCCCCCTCCCGTCCGGAAGGGCCTGCACAGCCCCTGGCGCACGACCGTGCCATGCGGCAACCAGGGCGGCGTTGGTGGCTCGCGGGGGACACCAAACAATGGGTCCGGGGGGGAGCCAGGCCGGGGGCGGCGGCGGGCGGGGGGGGGGGGGGGGGGGGGGGGCTGAGGATGCCGGCACCAAGGTCCGTGCCTGAGGGCGATGCTCCGGTCACTGGCCCAGATCGGGCTCCGCCCTTCTCGGGGAGCTGCTTTTCACGATCACGCTGTATGCTACCACGCGCGATCTTCCGCTCTTCCGCTCTTCCGCCGCCCCTCCAAATCCCCCCCCCCCCGCCGTCCCTCCCGGTGCACGCGCTTCCCCCCCCCCCCCCCCTCCCCCCTCCCCACCACCACCTGTCCTTGCTGCCCCTCCTCGCTCTTCCACGCGTCACAATGTCCGAGACTCGCCAGCTTACGTACATCATCGAGCATATGGAGGCCGACACCCTCTCCACCTGGTCGCTGGTGGAGTACATGCACACGGCGGCGGCTATCGCCACGCCGGCTACGCTGAAGCTTGACGCCCCGGGGCCGGGGTTCTCCTGCCGTCTGATGATTACCAACCTTTCCCAGGAGAACATTGATCTTCTGCGCAAGGAGGGCATCCACGAGTCGGCCATCCTGGAAACGCGCAAGGTCCTGGACATGGAATTCCCGGTGCGCGCCTGTTCTGATGGCCTGCAGGGGGGCGTGGCGCGCGGGGGGCGAGGAGGGCGTGAAGAAGGGGGCAGGCTGAGGGAGGAGCGAAAGGGTGCCAGCGTGTCCACATAAGGCAGCCACATGTCCACTTCGCCTCCTTCCCTGCTAACATGCCCGCTGTGGCCGACATGCACCCTGACGCACCTGCCAGGCCGAGGAGATCTGCCTCTTCGACCTCGAGGCCAAGGAAACCGTCTCCCCGGCCGATGGGCAGGTCTTCAAGTACTTCGTCATCGGGGGCATCCTCGGCGATCACCCGCCCCGTGCGCGGACCAGCAAGCTTCGCGAGCTCTCATGCGAGATCCGTCTGCTGGGCGACTACCAGATGTGCGTGCCCCCCGCCCCCCCCCCCGATATCCATCGGTCTCCTCTTCTTTGCCTCTTCCTCTCCCCGCCTCGCCCCCTCCCTCCCTCGGCCGACACTCTCACCCCCGGTGCCCTTGCGTCCCTTTTTGCACCGGCGGTTGTCTCGGCCCCTGCCATCCCACTCATCTGCCCCCTGCCCTTCCTCTCCCTCCCTCGCGGCTGCCCGTGAATCAGGTCTTCCGATACCGCCACCATTGTCTCGTATCTGATCACCGCCTGCGGCAAGAACCTGGCCGATCTGCCGCTCATCGACAATCCCACCTTCCAGCTCGGGCCGAACGAGGGTGTGGAGATGCCCTTCCGGTACCTGACCAACCCGGACACCGGCCGGCCCCTCGTGCCCAAGGGCTTCATCCGGAATCTGCGCCGGCAGAACGCGGCCAGTCTGTTCGACTGATGTAATCACGTGCCCCAATGGACTGACAGTAGGGTTTCCATCCTCCAGCGCGAGAGGGTTCATCAGATCCTTCTCGTACCTTTTTTGCGAGCCGCCGCTTCGCGGCCGGCGCGCGTTGTGGGCGTGTGCGTGCGGGGAGGCGTGGCGGGGGGGGGGGGGGGGGGGGGGGATATGCGCGGGGCGG